ACTTCCTCTACGGCAGAATTTCCATATTCTTTGATAACTCTCTATTGAATCCCCCACTGTACTGTGAACTGCTCTTTTGTTTATCTGTAGGTTCACCAGACTTGACACATAATGTTCATTAGGTACAACTATATTAGGCACTTTGCAAGCATTATCGCATTTAATCCTCATAAGAACCTATGAGATGGGTACTATTATTGTGTCTATTTTACAGTTGAAGCTCTGAGAAGTTAAGTAATTTTCCTTGGAGTCTGACATCCTTGGTGGAAACAGAATTTGACTAGGATGTCAGACTCCAAAGCCTATACTCTTAACCATTCTGCTAAACTTCCTCTTAAACTGAATGAACCCTTCAGAGTCTATCTATCTTTCAAAGTTGTGAAAATCAAATGACTTTGTAAGCTGAAAAGCTCTGATGTCAGAAACTGCTAATTCCCTCCCACCCCCCATAACTGTTTTCTATTTCCTTTTCATAATAATTGAATTACTGGTATTTAACTAGACACATAGTTGCCTATAATAACTACATTTCCCAGCCTTTCTTGCAGCCACGAATGGCCATATGATTCTTTTTGGGCCAATGTGATATTAACAGAACTATTACAACTTCTAGGACATGCCTTTATTTTTATTTTATTTTAAATTTTTAAAATACATTTTATTGTTTTTTTACAGAGAGGAAGGGAGAGGGATAGAGAGTTAGAAACATTGATGAGAGAGAAACATTGATCAGCTGCCTCCTGCACACCTCCTACTGGGAATGTGCTCGCAATCGAACCTGGGACCTTTCAGTCCGAAGGCTGATGCTCTATCCACCAAGCCAGACTGTTCAGGGCTAGGACATGCCTTTAAAGAGAAGAAGTGAGCTTGCCCTTACTTTCCCCCTTCCTTCTAGCTAGGCTGCGGACCTGGTGGTGAGGAGTCATTTTGGAACATATAGATAAGATAGAAGGGGGCGGGGAATTCTGGCATTGTGGAATGAGATACTCACCCTACACTGCTCATGCCTGGTTGATTGTGACAAAGAGAAATAAGCTTCTATATTGTTTCATTCATTGCTATTTTGGGTCTCTGACCTATACTCTCAATTAATATGGTCTTTTTACAGGAGGATGGATTATTCTTATTATTCCTACAGAGTGGCTTTGAGGCTGCATGCAGGCTATATCATAAGAATTAACTTCTCTTCTCAGTAAAAGACATTACCATTCAACTAGTTTGCTCAGGTCTAAAACCTAGGAGTCTTTGTTTTCCTTTTAAAACAACTTTATTGAGGTATAATTGACATACAATAAACTAAATACATTAAAGTATACAATTTAATAAGTTCCCGCCCAGGAAACCATCTGCACAATGAAGAGATCATAAACATATCCATCACCACAAGTGTTATCTAATGCTCCTTTGTACTCCCTTCCTTCTGCCTCCTCCTTAGTTTCCCTCATGGCAACTACTATCTGGCAACCACTGATCTTTTTGTCACTTTAGATTTGTTTGAATTTTCTAGAATTTTATATACATAAAATCATATAGTATGTTACTTTTTTTTCTGGCTTCTTTCACTCAACATTATTATTTGGAGATTAGGAATGATCTTTGTTTCCTCTTTTTTCATTGCCAACCCCTACCCCCAACCCATTCCTTCATCAAGTTCAGTAACCTCTACCTGAATACATCTGCTTCTCTCTATCTCCAGTGCTATCATCTTCACCTAGACCAGTGGTTCTCAACCTTTCTAATGCCGCGACCCTTTAATACAGTTCCTCATGTTGTGGTGACCCCCAACCATAAAATTATTTTCGTTGCTATTTCATAACTGCAATTTTGCTACTGTTATGAATCGTAATATAAATATCTTATATGTAGGATGCATTTTCATTGTTATAAATTGAACATAATTAAAGCATAGTGATTAATCACAAAAACAATATGTAATTATATATGTGTTTTCCGATGGTCTTAGGCGACCCCTGTGAAAGGGTCGTTCAACCCCCAAAGGGGTCGCGACCCACAGGTTGAGAACCGCTGACCTACCATCATCATCTCTTGTACTATTGCAATAATCTTTTAACTGGTCTCTTTGTTTCCACTCTTGCTCCCTCCAATCCATTCTCCACCTAGAACCCACACTCATCTCTTTAAAATGGGATCATATCAATCTCTTCAGATCATTTCAATCCCCTTCTTGAAATCATTCAATGGCTTCAGATCACTCAAAATAACATTCTAACCCTGACCATAGCTTACAAGGCCTTTTATGGTCTGGCCCCTGCCCAACTCTCTGATGTCACCTTTTACAATTCTCCCCACCCAGCTTCTTCCTTTGGTTCTTCAAATATGCCAAGCCGTTTCCATCCTAAACTCTTCGCTCTTATTATTCCTTCTGTCTGGGATGCTCTTCCCCAGTTCTTTGAATAACTGGCTCATTCTCATTTTTCTGGTCTCATCTCCTCTAGAGAGCTTCCTACACCCAAGTAGCCTCCACCCAGTCAATCTCTAACCACACTGCTATTTCCTTCCTTAGAAACACATTAATATTTAAAATATTTGTTTGCATGTTTATTGTTTATCTTTCCCCACTGGCATATGTGCCACATGAGGTCAGGGAGTTTGTCTTTTGCTACGGTTATATCCCAAGGGTCTAGATCAGTGCCTAACATATTTTATTTTATTTTATTATTATTTATTTTTATTTTTATTTTTATTTTTTTTATTTTTTATTTTTTTTTATTTTTATTTTTTTAAAATATATTTTATTGATTTTTTACAGAGAGGAAGGGAGAGAGATAGAGAGTTAGAAACATCGACGAGAGAGAAACATCAATCAGCCGCCTCCTGCACATCCCCCACTGGGGATGTGCCCGCAACCCAGGTACATGCCCTTGACCGGAATCGAACCTGGGACCTTTCAGTCCATAGGCCGACGCTCTATCCACCGAGCCAAACCGGTTTTGGCTATTTTATTTTATTTTATTTTCTGTGAGGAGAGAAGGGAGAAGGGTGCCTAACATATGTTAAAAAATATTTGTTGAAGGAATAAATAAATGTATTGAGCATGGGTAAGGCAGAGCTGAGGGATAATAGGAGATCACCTTTCTAAATTTTCATAGCTTATTAAACCTCAGAAGTAGTATATTCCTATATTAGTGAAGCCTTCAGTGTGAAGTCTGTTTTTTTTCTCTGAAATAATAGAAGCTAGCACATTCTGGTTATTCTCTAGGCAAGTGTCCAAGTACTACTGCAAGGCTTTCATAGATAATCTTTTCCTGCCATTTTAGAAGCTCTAGAGAGAGAAAGAAAATAACTTTATTTTGAAGACCTAAATGAAAAAGAGGTATGGACCTAACCAGTTTGGCTCAGTGGATAGAGCGTCGGCCTGTGGACTGAAGGGTCCCAGGTTCCATTCCGGTCAAGGGCATGTACCTTGGTTGCAGGCACATCCCCAGGGGGGAGTGTGCAGGAGGCAGCTGATTAATGTTTCTAACTCTATCCCACTCCTTTCCTCTCTGTAAAAAATCAATAAAATATATTTTAAAAAAGGAGATATGGAAAAATAATACAGTGGCTTCCAGTCCATAAATGTATATCATATTCTGCCAACTTTATGGTCAGAGAAAGTTTTATTTTCTCCCAAATATGCTTCACTCATATTTATCAAGAATTAACATAAGAACTGGTCTAGAACCATGAATCTCATAGGGCTTTGGTAGAAGTGAATGTGAACCTACCCTTAGGGATGTTTACACAGCCCAGGACATGATAGACACTGAAGATAGGTTTTTAGACAAAAACTTATGTCATATGAGAAAATCAACTGTCACAAGAAAGAACAGCAAATGCTCCCAAATGGAAGAATTCACAGCCCAAAAAACCTCAGGTGATAACCCTGTTAGGTCAATATTGTTATTCTAAAATTAAAAGAGAAGAAAAACTCTACTGCCACACAGTAAATGGAACCAGACAGACCTATGGTTAAGGTAGACCAAACCTTCAATCCAGATCTGGCTGGTTCTAAATTTCCATCCTTTACCCTCCCTCACAAGTTTTTAGAGTAGGTAAAACATCCATTTCTTCCATTTTCAAAAGTCCAATTTCTATCCATCCTTCTTGTTCAAATTTGGCTGTATACAGCAAATTCTCAAAATGTGGTCTGCAGATGACTGGCATTTGGTCATAAAGGCTGTTTGCAAAAGTGTGAGAACTTGGACCCCAAACTCAAAGATTCTAAGTAAATAAATTTGGGATAAGGACCGGAGAATGAATATGCATATATATTTAAACAAACTTACTTGGCCTCTCTTGAGCACCACTGTGCCAAAAGGTCTTCAGGAGAGTTCAGGAGATATAAGTTCTTTGGAAGGACACTTCAGTAGCATTCTGGTCTTCTCCATACTGGCATACCTGAGGCTCAGGCTGATTTTTTTTCCCCCCTCTCATCCTGACAGCACAGGGACTAGCTGAATGACTAAAGAGGTTTGGCCTGATCTACATACATCTCAATTTAGTAGCACAAACGAAGCAATTTGTTAAAATGCTTAAAACCATACACGAAATCTGCGTGTAGTGTTGTGTCTGGAAGGATGTGGAGTAGTAGGCCAGGCCTGAATGATCACATGGGGTCCACAGATTGAATCGTAACCTGGGATCTTCCAAGAGTTACTAGCGGGGCCCTGGCCGGTTTGGCTCAGTGGATAGAGCCTCGGCCTGTGGACTCAAGGGTCCCAGGTTCGATTCCGGTCAAGGGCATGGACCTTGGTTTCGGGCACATCCCCAGGGAGGAGTGTGCAGGATGAAGCTGACCTATGTTTCTAACTCTCTATCCCTCTCCCTTCCTCTCTGTAAAACATCAATAAAATATATATTAAAAAAAAAAAAAAAAAAGAGTTACTAGCGGGGAAGAAAGGAAGAAGCTGACTAGCCCCCCTCCTGCGGCGCAGGCGCAGAAGGAAGGAGGGAAGAGTCAAATCGCCAAGGCGCGCCCTTCCCCCCCCCACACTTTCCGGCTTTCTCCACCGCGCAGGCGCGGAGAGGGAGCCAAGATGGCGGCGCCCGTGGATCTGGAGTTGAAGAAGGTAAGGAAGCGTGTGGAGGAGGCCGAGGGTCCTCTTTGGTCGCTGAGGGACCTGTGGACAAGAATCTCGAGGAGACTAGAGTCTTGCGGAAGGAAAGAGGCCCCAGGGAGCTGGGGGGTGATATCCCGGGATCCTAAAACGGGAGCACGTCTCCTGAGGTTGGAGTGGGGGGCGAGCGGCTTTTGCTGGGGAAGAGCCGGCTGGGTGGGCTGGGTTGAGTCTGGTGGGCGCATAACGGGCTTGTCCTGTCGTCCCTTGTTCCGGCCTGTGCTTTTCGGCCTCTTATTCCACCCCAAACTTGGGAAGGTCGCGCTACAGTTCAGAGTTAGATATGCTCATAGCAATGCTCGTCTCGGGGCTGTGGCCCCCCTCCCCTCACCCCCCACCGTTTTTGCAGGAGTTGTCGAAGAAAGAAACAAGTCCCGTGAAGTTTTCTAAATAAAATTGATATCGGAAGAAATTAGGCTTATCTCTTCAATTGCTTATAAGTGTGTTGTCATTCAGAAACGTTTTCACCACCAGTTGTCAGGATTCTAACATCTCCACTGACCCCAAATCATATTTTTTGGGGTGGGAGGGAGGTAGGAGGGGGACGGGGATGGAAAAGAATCCTAGGCTTCACCTACTTTAAACCTGTCCTTTTCTAGAAAAGGACACGGAGTTCGAGAAAAGACGCAGTCAAAGGTTGGGGTCGAATCCAGCATCCCCTGCCTTACTCCACACCTTTTGGCTATTAGTTTAGGTTCTTGAGAAGAACACGTTTTACTAAAGACTGCCTTCTGGTCAGTCTGTGCATAAGCAATAGGACAGCTGAAATAGCTGTAGATCCTAAACATTGAAGTTGTTGCTGCTGTGAGGATTTATGCGTGTATCTTACTTTTTGTCATTCTTGTTTTGAAACCTGTAAATTTGGCCCTTAGGGGGTGTTCTCTCACGCTGTTGTATCTCAGCTTTAACAACACACCAGTTTCCTTAGCAAACTGTGTACCGAACAGTCAGGTAGTACCTGTAATTTTGCATGCAAACCAAAATTCATTTTAAGAATGCTTAAAGCATTCTAAAAGTTTACCTTTTTTATTCTGTTAAAGCAGTGGTTCTCAACCTTGGCTGCACATTAGAATCACCTGGGAATCTTTTTAAAAATCCTGATTTCTGGGCCTCATCCTCCGGAAATTCTGTTTCTTTGTTACTAATGTTGTGGTCCCACCCCATAACAAAGAAATAGAATTTCTGGAGGATGAGGCCCAGAAATCAGGATTTTAAAAAGATTCCCAGGTGATTCTAATGTGCAGCCAAGGTTGAGAACCACTGCATTAAAGGTTCAAATTTAAGTCAGGGTTTAGTAAAAGAGCTAACAATAGCATACAGCTGTGAATGGACTCACCTCCCAGTATTTAAATTTGTTGCTAAGAAACCTATGGGCAATGAATGCAAACTAAGAAAATGATTTCAGCCTTAAATTGGATAGTTTTGACAATTAATTAAATTAAACTTGTTTAAAAATTTTGACTTCTAATATAAATTATTATTATTAATATTATTTTTGTCTGGAGACTATTAGGAAATTTCAAGCTCCTCCCTTCCTCCCAAGTAAATATTTTGAAACTTTACTAGAAGGTGAGAAGTCAGAATAAAAGTTAAGTAGTAGCCTTTGCCATGTATTGCAGTCACAAATATTAAGGCATAAATTTGACAGCATGTGACAATCATTCCAGGCACTTAAGAGTATTCATGAACTGTGTTTATCTTTGAGTTAAGTGTACAGAAGGGTCAAATTTGGCTTTGTCTATGCATATGAAGATCATGATGCAATTCTAATACTAATGTGTTTTTTTTATTTCTCTTAAAAATATTTATATTCTGGATATTACTGTAGACAATAGAAGAAATGGATTTAAGTACCTGCCTTTCCTTCCGATATTTGTTCAGCCCTGTGCAAGCCACTTAACTCTATCACATTTACTTAATTTATAAACTGTTATGATGAAACTGCCACCCTGACTCATAAGATTTGAGAGGAGTAAATGAGATACTTATTATATCCCTCAGTGTTCTCATTTTATTAAGATACCTATTCCTGAAACCGGTTTGGCTCAGTGGATAGAGCGTCAGCCTGCGGACTGAAGGGTCCCAGGTTCGATTCCGGTCAAGGGCATGTACCTTGGTTGCGGGCACATCCCCAGTAGGGGTGTGCAGGAGGCAGCTGATCGATGTTTCTCTCTCATCGATGTTTCTAACTCTCTATCTCTCTCCCTTCCTCTCTGTAAAAAATCAATAAAATATATTTAAAAACAAAAAACAAAAAAGATACCTATGTTAATATTTGAAACAGTTATGGGAAAGTCCTTTGAAACCTAGTTGAGTAATACAAATGTAGAGAGTTGGTGTTCCCTTTATGGTTCTTGTTTTGGATCTCTGGGTTTCATCCTCTGACTGTTACATTTGTTGCTTTTATTACTCCTTGAGCACCTGCTGCTTGATATGGCTATTATTTAATGTGCGTTCATTTCTGCTTCTTCAAAATGATTCCATATTCTGAGGACAGGGTAAATTCAGTAGTTAGCCTAGTGGCTTGATTGATTACAATTATACTAACTTTTATTGATGTTTGGTTTAGTAAATTTCATAGCTTTGCCTCTGGTTAGCATGCTTTATTTTAACGTATTTGGATTTGACTTAAATGTTTCCTATAAAATATTTCACTTACTAAATCAAGGACTTGTTTTTATTAGGCCTTCACAGAGCTTCAAGCTAAAGTTATTGACACTCAACAGAAGGTGAAGCTTGCAGACATACAGATTGAACAGCTAAACAGAACGAAAAAGCATGCCCATCTTACAGATACAGAGATTATGACTTTGGTAGACGAGACTAACATGTATGAAGGTGTAGGAAGAATGTAAGTAAAATATATCCTTAAGGGGGTTATCTTGGGATATGTTTTGTCTGAAATAAATCATAAAAGTTGTTCATTTTAAAATGGGTTAAAGTATCACAGTACGTCTAATACCTTATTTGTTTTAAACAAGAAACTGAATCCCAGATAGATGTGTTGAATTTAATTTTTTCCCCTTCAAATTGTAAGAGAAAGTTTATTTAGAAAATCACAGAGTTAGAAGTGAGCTGTAGGAGAAATGGGCTCAGGAAACAAGATACAGAGGCAGAAGAAGGGCTCTTCATGCTTAGAAGAGAGAAAGGTAAAGCTACTATGCCTGGGGGAGGGGAGGGAGAAGACGGGGCCAGATGTGTTTAATTTTAGACTTGAAAGTACATTTCTTAAATATTTCCCTCCTCTCTCTACATTGGATGCTTAAAAGTGTGTAACTTCAGTGATAAAAATATGATTTGTCATGAAAAGATGTTCATAGTAATTTTGTGTGTGAAGATTTATTTAAGTAGTTGTAGTTTTAACTTCTCCTTCCCTGCCTCATTTGTGAGGAGTCATACAAATCATCATTTAGATGTCTGACCAGTGTCCTAAAATAAAAATATTAAGTTAAATATTCAGTTGTCATTTAATAGTATATACACTTGTTCTAACTGTCATACATGAGAAATCTAGTAAACCAGTTTATGTTTTGTTTGTTCTAATTGTTATGTGATTAACATCTAATAGCACTTCACTTTTTTCTTTTAAAACATATATTACCTTTATGAGACAGAGCAGATCTGTTCTCTGAGCAGTAGTAAGGAATGGAAAAGCCCTTAACTACAGGTCACATTCCATTACAATGAGCTAAAAGGAGAGGAATGGTTTGGGGGAGGGGGTTGAGATGCAGGAGGAGGGTTCTTCTGGAATTTAGTCTTTGACTATTACCTAGTAAGTGGACCATTACTTTAAGTTTGGAGAGCTTTTGGTTGGAATGGAATTTGACCTCAGTCTTGGGATGACTTATTTTGTGATTGATTTGAAGGAAGCATAACATGTGTAACATTTAGCAATGGCTTTGGAATGACATCATGAGAAGTAGACCCTGCTCCTGACTAGCTAATCCATATCTTTCTGGAAAAGAGATAGATTATGATAAAGTGTTCATTAGATTTGCTTGATCAGAATAAACAGTATACCACAAATTTTGTCTCCAGAGTTCATATTTTTCATTTTAGCTTATTTTAGGAGGAAGAGAATCCCAATTTGAGAGTTCATTACTGGGACACAAAAGAATTGGATTGAAAACAAAGTAGTGCCCTTGAATATGTGTCTATGTAGTATGAAGTGAATTGTTGGCATTCATGACAGGATAATTTTATCCTTAATGTGAATATCCTTAGGTCTTAAAACAGTAATGCTAGCTTTTCTAGCATGGTTGTTAACATGTTGTCCTTGGATTTCACATCACTACATTAGCCTGTTTGCAATAGCTAAAGAATCTTTTTCCAAAATAGAAAAACTCTTTGACTATCTTTGGCCTTTGAGTTACAATGAAGCTTTTTTAATTAGAATAATTTCATCTATTAAACATTCTGCAGAAGTGATAGGAGTGTTGCTTTTTTCTTTTTTGCATACTGCCCAAAGTGCTACAAATAGATTGCATTCCACATAAAGAGTCTTAGAGTTTAAAGGCTGGGAGATGAATTAGTTAATGGTAGGACAATAATATTTCCAGAAGATTTGTTTTGTATTATTTATGTTTTTAAAAAGAAATATGTAGTTTTAAATGTTTGGCTAAAGTGGAACTCCTGTATGGTTTCAGACTTTGGTTTTAAATTTGACTTTTGTGCTTTCTGCATCTCACTGGGACTGTGCATTTGACCCTGCATTGTAGGGGCATGTAAGGTGAGTAGTGTTTGTTGCTTGGCTAGAATATTAGTGCCCTCAGGAAGAAAAGACTTGCTGAGTATTAGTCTGGTCATGAGGACGTTCTCTTTCTTGATGCTAAACCTGAAATATCTATTTCTGAATTTATAGTCTTGGGTAATCTTGAGTATCATTGTGATTCACTTCTTTAATTCTAGTCTTTACGTTGTCTTATCTTTTCCTTTTTGAGTATTGTTTGGGAATTCTAAATAGAATACTAATTTTTCTCAAATTCTTGCTTTAAAACCATGGATTATAAAATCTAAACACTCCATTTTTTTTTTGTTTTAGAACCTGCAGTAGATTTTTGCCATTGCTGAAATTCAGGCCTCATTATATCTTTCCTAGACTATTGCAATAGCATATTAACTGTTCTTTATGCCTTTATTCTATCTGTCCAAATGCATTGTTTACACATCTTCCAGAGTTGATCATGTCAATATTCTTCATAAAATCCTTTGTTCATCCTCTGTTGTCCACAGGATAAAATTTAAACTCCTTAGCCTAGCATCATAGTCATTCATAATCTGTCCTTTATTTATCCTTCTAGTCTCAAGTCCCACCATTTTCTATTCCCAGACTCAGGATAGCTCGTAAATTTCATCACATGGACTTATTCCTTCCATTGGTTTTGGGTTATCTGTTGAGAAGGAGTTTAAGTCTCATATAGACTTTAAACATGTTTTTTTTAAAAAATATATTTTATTGATTTTTTACAGAGAAGAAGGGAGAGGGATAGAGAGTTAGAAACATCGATGAGAGAGATCGATCAGCTGCTTCCTGCACGCCCCCTACTGGGGATGTGCCTGCAACCAAGGTACATGCCCTTGACCGGAATCGAACCCGGGACCCCTCAGTCTGCAGGCCGACGCTCTATCCACTGAGCCAAACCGGTTTGGCGGCTAAACATGTTTTAATTGATTAGTGATGCCTGTCATGTAGTAGCACGTGAAGCAGAAATTGGTATTCTTAGCCTTGTCACATGGGCTTCCTCACACATGCCATGTTTGTGATTTCTTGCTTTTGCTCATTCTGTCCTTGGCCTGCGATATTCGACTTTCCCTTGTGACATTCTCATCCTTTAAGACAGAGCTTGTGTTTTCTGAAGATTTTGTCCTTTATGGCAGACTTAATTACATATCTGGGGTGGTGCCAGGGTTTTTGTTTCTGTAGCTACTAGAACACACACACACACATACATACACAGAATGAGAGAGAGATTGAGATTTGTTTTATTGATTGATTTAAAAAAATGTTTTTATTGATTTTAGAGAGCAAGGAAAGGAGAGGGAGAGAGTGATAGGAACATCGATGAGAGAGAAATGAGCCCACTACCTGGGTATGTGCCCCGACAGGGAATCGAATCAGCCACCTTTTGGTACATGGATTGACTGCTCAACCACTGAGCTACACCCACTGGGCTGATTGCCTTTTATTGATTTCAGAGAGGAAGGGAGAGGGAGAGAGATAGAAATATCAGTGATGAGAGATAGATAATCGATTGACTGCCTCCTGCACACCCTCTAATGGGGATTGAGCTTGCAACCCTGGCATGTGCCCTGACTGGGAATCGAACTGTGACTTCCTGGTTCATAGGTGGATGCTCAACCACTGAGCTACACCTGCTGGTCTGATTGATTTTTAAGCGGGTCGGTTTCCCCAACTAGATTGTCAGTTCTGTGAGACCATGTACATACATATTTATCTTTGTTTTGTTAGTTCTCAGCATAATGTCTGGCACAAAATAGATGTTAAATGTGTGTTGATTTGAGTTGAATACGATTCTTTCTTTTGCCTAAAATAACTTTTCTTTTGCATTTTCTTTTGGCTTTTTAGAAAGAATGTGTTTAGAAAGTGACAGACTTAGGATTAGATTTTGTTATTATTTTAATATTATGATTCAATAAAGATGAAATTATAAAAGTAACATATTTTGACTAATGTCTGGAATTTTGACCAAAATTATGTCATTTAATCTGACAGGATTAATTCTTTATTAAATTGTTGAGAAGGTTGACTAATTCTAAATACCAACCAGTTGCAGAGATATTCAGTCAGAACTGACACTATAGAAAAATCCAAGCCTTTGAAACTAAACTGAGGGCAGTATAACCCTTAGAGAATAAAGGCTATTCTATGCAGAACAGTATCTATATAATTATCTATTTTACCTTCCTCATCTTCACATAGGATGAAAGTCATTTTTCTTTTTAGGGTATGTATGTAGTTTACCAAATCATCGCAAGCCCAGTGCCTTTCAAGTTACAGATATGGAGAATTGGTAGAGTTAAATACCTGTTATATATGGCTATTTTGGACTTAAAACAAGGAAAATCAAACTGCAGGATAAGAAATGATGAATTGCTGTATACTGTAAGCTCTGGGTATTTGTTGCTCAAAGCTATATTCCATCCAGTCTCTTGGCATGTTGCCAGCACATTTTAGTTCTGTTACTTCATATTCTTTGGAGAGGCTGTTATGTAGCCTGATACTACTACCACCAATTTCTAGTTTTACTCCTTAAGCTGTTTGTGAGCTGACCTCACCAGACTGCTTTGAGAACTATGATGAAAGTTACAACTGTGGAATGATCTGTCTGAATAGTTGGAAGTGTTTGTCTTTGCATCTTTCTAGCATACAAGGAGGGAATCAAATAAATACTAGATCTCAAATAAATGTTACATGAATGTTTCTTGTATTTTTTTTTCATGAGTAAGAACCAGTTTCTAAGATATATGGTAGTTTTCTTCCTTTGTACTTTGTACAGAAGTAGAGTTTTTGTGTGTTTTCTTTTAAAATAAGAATTACATTTGAAAGTACACATAAATGACATTTTACCATGCTAGTGTTTGAAAAGATTAGGATAAATGTCAAACTTATTTTTATTAACAATAGGTATGACCCTGACCCTGATTTGATGTCAGGTCTATTGTCCTATTATTCCAATCTCCTTTTGCTTGAGTGTTACATAAATAACATTTCTTCTTTCCAAAGGGGACAAATTAAGCTTTTTATTTTTTTAATATGGGAGGAACTTGAGTAGATTAGCCTTTGAAAAGAATGATTAGTGTCTTTTTAAAACTTGAACCTAACTAAAAATA